AAAGAAAAATCTTCCATGACATAAATAGGCTGAAGGAATTCATGTCCACAAAACCAGCCCTTCAGAGAGTTCTGGAAGCAATACAAAGAGCTGAAGAAAGGAATGACTATACCCAAGGGGCTGTGTAAAGAAATTCAATGAAGATATAACTGTGGAAAAGTTCAGCTATATCAAGAATGTAAACAGAAATAAAAATGACAGGATTCAATACTCATCTTTGATTAATAACTTTAAATATTAATGGACTGAACTCCCCAGTCAAAAGACACAGACTAGGTGAATGGATTAAGAAACAAAACCCATCTTTTTGTTGTCTGCAAGAAACTCATCTCACTTTCAAGGACAGATACTATCTTAAAGTGAAAGGATGGAAAAAAAATATACCAAGCAAATGGTACTAAGGAAAAAGCAGGTGTAACAATTTTAATATCTGACAAAATAGAATTTAAAACTAATCAGAAGAGATAAAGAGGGCCACTTCATTCTGATCAAAGGAACAATAAATCAAGAAGATATTGCAGTCATGAACATATATTCACCAAACTCTGGTGCACCCAACTTCATAAAAACAATACTACAGGACTTTAAGACACAGATTAATCCCAACTCATTAATAGTAGGGGACTTCAATACCCCACTGTCTCCATTAGATAGGTCAACAGGGCAGAGTGTAGACAGAGAGACATCTGCATTAAACAATACCATATATCAAATGGACTTAACAGACATCTACCGAGTATTCCACCCAAGCACCAAAGGACATACTTTCTACTCAGCACCCCATGGAACTTTCTCCAAAATCAAAAATTTGTGTTTGGCCACAAAACTTCAACAAATACAAAAAGACTGAAATAATTCCATGTATCCTGTCAGTCCACAATGCAGTAAAGCTTACAATCAATCTGAAGGTTTAGGAAACCACTCTCCAGCCTCTTGCCTTCCATCCAAACCTTCAGTGTTCTGGGATGGTAGCATGAAATGTACATTCCACTGTTCATATAGCTTCCTGCTCTGGCACTTCATCTCCAACCCCTACCCCCCATATGGTGGTCTTTGACTCTGGGGTCAGTCTAACTCATCTCAAAACCAGACCTTTCTATTGTTTGGGGGAATGTGCGCTGCATAGAGTATGGACTTGGTAACCTGCCTGTTCTCAAGCAGACTTTCAAAGATGCTCCCAATTTTAGCTCCACCCTTCACACCTACAAGCCCTTCTATTTATTTTCTATCTCATACCTTTACAAAGCACATTTTAAATAAGTAATTATTTTATATTTTTATAGGATACAGAGTGATATTTTTGTAAATTTGTTTTTATTGAATTTTTGTGTATTTTCAGAATATCTCAAAGAATCTTAATCATCTTTATACCCCCATCCCCACTGGCATCCTTGCATAGCTCCCCCCACTGGAGCCCATAGTGATATTTTGATACATATATACTATGTGGAATGATCGTTCAGAATAATTAGCAAATGCATCATCTTAAATATTTATTATTTCTTCATGGTAAGACTATTCAAAATCATCTCTTTTAGTGGTTTTGAAATATTTGTTGGCTTTCTCCTCCTTCTACAGTTTTGGGGGCCCCAGAGAGATTTTTCCTTATTGCTTTTCGTAAATCACTCACCATTCTCTTATTTATCTTTTCATCTAATAGCAGATGAAAATCCTTTACTTATTTCTGTCTTCTCTTTGTCTTGGCAAGTTTCAACTTCAAAACTTTTTTGTGTTCAAGTATTCCTGTGGGACCATCCACTGTAGCTGGTAGATCCGCCAGGTGCCCTTAAAGTAGATTCTCCCCACCCCTGAAGCCATCAGTTATCTGTGACTCCTCAGTTAGGGGTAGGGGCTCATGAACCCTTTCCCACTCTGTGCTAGAATGTTGAATGGTTTGATTTTGTGCAGGTTTTGTGCAGGCAACCACAGCTGTTGTGAGTTCATAAGTGCAGAAGAAATTGGCATAAATGGGTTATTAAAATTTAAGAGGACCCGATGTTAGAGGGTAGGGAGGTAGGGTGGACCTGGGAGGAGTTAAGGGGAGGAGCTGGGGTGAATATGATCAAAATACACTATATGAAATTCTCAAAGAAAATAACAATATTTACGAAAAGAAAAAAATAGAAAATCTTAGAAAAACTTGTTCTAACAAAAAGACATATCATCTGCCAAATCATAATTTTTCAAAGGTTTAATATTTATGCTTTCTCTTTTAAGTGTTTAGTAGTATGTACTCAGACAATTGTACCTTGGTGATGTGTGAAATCTTATCACTTGGAATTATAACATGATGTCATATATACAGAACAGCAGAACCAAAGGACTGTGTGGTTCCCACTCAGATAGTGCAGAACTCTCTCTTGCACTGTGAAAGATAGAGGACTCATTAGTCTAAAAGGGTTTCAAAACAATGGTGTTATTTTCAAATAAAATACTTAATAAATTCAGTGTATAAAAATGAATTCTTGGAGGAAGTTGAAAAGAGCAGATGCCAGTTCACTCAGCCTCGCCTCCCTTCCTCCTGATGCCCTGGAGTTACATGCGTGGACACCAGGAGTACAGTTCAGAAAACATTGCCTCTTGAGCTGGCAATTTCTTTCTGACTGTAGACTTAGATTGAGCTTTATCCAGGGGCCAGCACCTAATAGATAATTTAAGATTGATGCTGAACATTTATTTTAGTTTAAATTTCTTGACAGAAAAGTAACTTCAGAATTAGGATTACTTTCCCAACTACTTTCTTTTTATTTCTGAATACTGGAGGTGAGAAATACTACTTTTACTGTAATGATTAGAGCTAGGTTTCACATCTTTCAATTCATAAATCCTTAAAGGAACAAAATCCTGACTGAGACCACAGATATCTTACTGGAAACTCTGAAATGATGGGGTGCTTTTATTTTAATAGTTTTAAAGTTATTAGTAAGACAAAATGTTTAAAATAAAATCACAGAAATGAATTTCATGTGCTGAGAGACATCCTTGAAACCACATTTTTTTTAATTTTAATTTTTGAACAGAGTTTTAAAAGGCTAGTTTTAGGTTTATTATAAAATTATGCTCCAAGGACATAAGATTCTCATACAACGTTTGACTCCACCTAAGCATCTCTCTCCCACTACAGACATCCCAACCACAGTGTTGCATTTCTTACAAATGATGAACCTACATTGATATGTCACCACCCAAAGCCCATGGTTTATGTAAGGATTCACTCTTGGTGCTACACATTCTATGGGTTTGGACATGTGTATATGCCTCACACCCACCATCATGGTATCATACAGACAAGTTCCATGCAGTGAAAAAATCCTCCATGCTCCATCTTTTAATCTCTGCTTCTCTTCTACCCCTGGCAACCATTGATATCTCTACTGTCTCTCTAGTTTTGCCTTCTCCAGAACATTATATAATTGGAACATAGAGTATGTAGCCTTTGTGTATTGCCTTAATTCATAGTGTACTGTACATCTAAACTTCTTCCATGTCTTCTCATGGCTTGGCAGTGCATTTCTTCTTTCTTCTTTCTTTTTTTTGAATACTTCATAATATTCTATTCTGGATTTATCACATTTGAACCATCATGTTTTGTGTCTATCATTACAGGTACTGAAAATTTAAGATTATATATTCTATACAGCATCTCACCTGTTGTTATTTTGATCATCATAGGATCCATTTGTTTTTTCAAAATCCGTGGCTTCAGGTATTGACTGATAAATATCTTTTCTTCTTCAGCTTTATTGGACCAAAAAAGGGTCAGAAATATGGAACTGACTGTCTGGGTAAATTAGGTGTTAACAGTTCTCTCATAAGCAAAGAGTGCCTTGAAGTATTAGATTAGGAATACTTTGCACGATGAGAATGTTTAGGAGGTTGCTCAGGTACGCAAGCCTGATGAATTAGGCCTGTAAGGGCAGGACCTTGTGAGAGGCAAGGCATGATAATGTTTTTTTGGGGAGAATAATTATGATAATTCTTTTCATGTACCAAAGAGAAGGTATCACATGTATTTTATTGCATTAAGCTCCTGCCTTAAGAATTTGCTTCCTTTTCCAAAATCCAGAATTTTGTTGTAATAACCACAAGTACAGTCCATTCATTTCTGGTAGTTCATTTCTGATTTACTGAGTCTTCCATCAAAATGAACCAGGATCTCAGTAGCTTAATTGTGGTTTTTGCTAAGTAATGATGCTACCTATGTTCACTCCCGACTATTTTATTTTTTAGAAAATGTAAATTGGGAAAAACAGAAGCTACTTCAGTTGTTGATGAGGTAAGAATGCTTTCAAACCTCTAAAGTTCTTTTTTGTGGGGGTGTCATTTTTTTGGGATAGGGTCTCCCTGTAGGTCCAGCTGGCCTGGAACCTGCCATGTAGACCAGGCCTGCCTTGAACTCACAGAAATCTGCCTGCCTCTGCCTCCTGAGTGCTGGGATTAAAGGCTTGCACCACCACACCCTGCAAGCCACATGTTCTTAAATTTAGCAAAGCAATGTATAATTTGCATCGATACTCATATTTTAGTTGAAAAAACAATTCTGATTTTACAAGGTGAATAGTTAGGTGTACTTATTTTGCTAATTTTCTGTCAAATACTGTATACGTATATTATCCCCTATCTACTTTTCCATCTGATAAACTTCATCTTAATCACATCTACCTCATTTGGACTGTAATCTTGGGAGAAACTAAGTAGATGTTTCCTTTCCCATGAAAATGTGTCTAATTCTTGGCTTCTCTTTTCCAGTACTGCTCCCATTTTCCTCTTACCCAAGCTTAAAGCAGTCTGTTTCCTAATCTCTACCACCAGAAGCTTATTGTCTTTGTCTCTTTCCTTTAAAATTCTTCTCATGTCACTTCATTCCTCTGCATTTCTACTTTCACCCAACCATCGTCTCTCACACAAGATGAATGAGCAATGAGTGCGTTTCTAATAAAGTACTAGACAAAGACTTGCTCCTATGTTCATGTTAGTCAGAGATGCAAATATAAGCACTATTCATAGTGCCAAAGTGCTATCATTCAGGGTGCTAAAGTGGTGGCACCCTGTAGAAAAACACAGGTAGTTTCCGTAATGTATTTCTAGCTCTTTTGAAATGATATTGGCTTTGAATTCTTTTCTAGGATGAAATGCAGCCTTATGCTAGCTACACAGAAAAGAACAACCCACTCTATGATACCGTGAGCAAGGTGGAGGCACTTCAGATGTTACGGGGCGAGGTTGACAGCACAGGCCTGCATACTTTATCAGCCACTGGAATCTAGCACCAGGAAAAATGAATGAAGAGACATTGCAATTACTGTTTTGCTTTTCTTACAATTCTAGAATGGAAGGATTACTTTGAAATTAGATTTTCAAAGGTTCTTAGAAAACAAAGGCATTCTGGTGGATTTGCTTTTATATCCTTCTACAGTTGGAAGTTTAGAGTTCTGCTGCTACCCGTTAGTTCTTTGAAGAACTGATGTAATTATTACAAAGAAAGCACATGGTTAGGATGAAATATTCAAATTGTGCAATACAATGAATAATGAAGACCACATTTCCTCAAGAAATAACTTTGCAGAAGGAACAATCATTAACAGTTTCTTATGTATTTTTCCAAAAGATTTCTATGTGGATATGACATGCCTAATATGCCTGTGGTATGTGTATACATTTATATGTCTGTTTACATATATGTGTACACACATATTGTTAAGACATAAATGGGAACATATGGTAATGCTGGACTTATAATGTGAGTCCTGGAGATTTTTTCATATCAGTATAAGCAAAGCTACCTCATTCTTTTTAATGGCTATATAAAATTCCATTGTATAATTATGTCATAATTTAATTAACTATGGCCCTCATGATGTACATTTAGATTTTTTTGTGTGTGTCTTATAAACAATACCATGTAGAATGCTTCTCCTGACTACTCTCTACATTATTTGAATGTATCTGTGAAATAATTTCTTGAATTGTCATGTTAATTGGTATGCATTTTCATTATTGATCAATCAGTCAAATTGTGTCAATTTTCATTCCCTCCAGCTAGCTGTGTTTGAATGTGCCTTTGTGTGTATACTTATTTTTATATTTTCAAAATTCTTGCTTCTTCAGTTCATACTTTCTGTTTTTAATTGACCAGTTGAGTAATATGATTTAAGATTACAATATGAGTTGTATTTTTTAATCAAACTGGATTTGTATTATGTCATGTCTGGGAGAGAGAGAATGCCAATGTAAAGATATTAGACTCTTCTGAACTCTCTGTACTTTTGTAGAAGTGTTGCTACCTAGTGCATAATAGTTTTGCAGATGCTATGAACTGTGTACTTTTACCATTTTGTTCTGGTGTATTTATCAAATAGAAAGTGTCTATGAAATGTATATGCAAATCGGGACACTTGGAGTATTTACACATTAAGCCATTCTTTTAAATGGCTGTGGGATGATACAACTTTTACTTCCATTTTATCTTTGGAGTAAAATATTGGGGATATGTATATCAATGATTTTTGATATCATAAAATATTTTTAATTATGAAAGACAAGCATGTTCCCTTTATAGCAAGAAAAGCATTAAAAGTGGATTTTTAATTTTATTTTATTTGGTTTTTAAAATTTTAGATTATTTATTTCTGTCATGATTTGTTTTTTTTTTTTTTTTTGAAACACAGTCTTTCTATATTTCCAGGTGAGCCTTCAACTCACCACATAGCCCAGGCTGACCTCCCAGTTGCTGGGATTACAGGGGTGTGCCAACATACCCTGCAAAGGTTTTCTTCATCATGATGATAGAAAGTAAAACAAAATCCTTTCATTCATTCTTCACTGGTGTCAACTCAGACATTTAAGACAATTATTTTGTCTATTAATATATTTTCTTTCTCTTTTCTCCCTTGGAAAATTCTCTCTCTTCCTTCTTCCACCCCCCCGCCACATTACTTTGAAAGTTATCCATTATAACATATATTTGTTAGTGGCTCTACTTTGTTTTAAAAAAAACTGAATTGACATGTAATTGATATATTTAAAGGGCATTCTTTATCCTTGTATTAGTCAGGGTTCTTTAGAGGAACAGAACCAAGAGAATGAATATATATTAAAGGGGTTCCCTTTTAATCTTGGTTGTCAATTTAGCACACCTGGGAAGATGGAACATCAATTAAGGAATTTCCTTCATCAGGTTGACTTGTAGGTATGTTGGTGTAGATTGTAGTTTGATGTCAGAGGGCGTAGCTCACTGTGGGTGATACATCCTAGGCTCGGTGGCCCAGACTGTATAAAAAAGCTAGCTGAGCAAGCCAGAGACAACAAGCCAGTAAGCAGTCTTCCTCCACGGTTTCTGTTTCAGTTCCTGCCTTGACTTCCCTCAATGATGGACTATAATCCGTAGGATGAAATAAACCCTTTCTTCCCCAAGATGCTTTGGTCAGTGTTTTAGCACAGCAAAAGAAAGCAAACAAGAATAGGGGATTTATTGGACTGACTTAACACAATAATCTGAGTAGTTCAATAATGGCTGTCTTTACACTGGAGAGGCTGAGAACCCAATGCTCAGTCTATGAGGCTAGATGCCTCAACAGTCTCAATCTGTTTATGAAGGCCTGGAAGATTCCTGGAGAGCTACTGGTCTCCAGTTCACACTGGAGGGACAAGGAAGCTGTGTCTAAAGTCACTGAAGGATGGAAACAAGGGTGGCAACAGTGGTGGCGGGAGAGAGAGCAATAGTATAGATGAACTTGTAAACAGAGTAGATGGGCTCACCAGTGAGCTGCAAAGGCAAGTAGGCAAAAACCAAAAGCTTTTCTCTTGGATCACTTTATATTTGGGCCACTGGCAGAAGGGGCTGCTCACATTTAGGGTGGCTCTTCCCATTTCAATTAACCTAAACAAGAAAATCCCTCACAAGCATACCCAGAGGTTTGCCTCATAGTTGAGTCACTAGCTAGTCAAATTGATAACAAAGATTAACCATCACAGTTCTTAAAAAGGCTTTTAGTGTAATTTGGATGTAAAGCTAATGTCTAATACTTGGCACATGGAATTTTGGTCAAACCATTTTGACTTGGCCAAAAAAAAATTCACTATGTTTCTATATATAAAGATTACCAGACACTGTAGAATAGAAATCATAGCCCTGTATTTAACTTTGTTTATTCTTTACCTCCACCCCCCATTGGGATGGGGTTCATAGTTAGGTCTAAGACCATTTGTGTATATATTACTGAACTTCCCCTGCCAAAAAAAAAAAATCCATAGTTGGTGGCCAGAGTCTCTACCAGTGTTTCCACGTTATTTGAGTCTCATTCAAGCATTGAAGCAAAGGCAAGCTCAGATTGCTGAGACATCATTTATAAATCTAAGTTACATTGTACAGGAAGTAATCGTATGAAAATTGCTCACTATGGAGGTGAAATAAAGTTGAACATTGTAATCATGTGGGAGAAAAACAGATTCTATACATTTCTTCAATCCACTCATTCTGCAGAATCAGAAAAGCCTACGATTAGACCAGGCATGTTCTTTAGCTTCTGTAGGAAGTAGAAGCTGTGATGGACTGAGAGGTAATGAACTGGGAGAAGAGGTTATGCCTTCAACAGATTAAAGGATGGGAGAAGGTAAGCCTGTGGACTAGGATTCTGAAGAGAAGGAAATCTGTTAAAGAGGAGGAGAGAGAGCAGGTTTGAAGAGGAACACCTCCAGCACACTATCCTAGGATTGTCCAGGTCTTAGCAAAAGTGTAGCCTCTCATGTGAAGAAGTAAGAAAATTCTGATCAGCATTCCTCCAAGAGTCCATTGCTCAGGGACTTCCCAGGGAAAGCATGGTCTTAGCTCAGAAGCTGAAGTGGATTCTGAAGGGTTCACATAGCATTCCCCTCTATGGATGTCTGCCTTCAAATGTCATCTTTTTATAAGGATACCAGCAATATTGGTGTAGGGCCCATCCTCATGACCTCCTCTTGACTTGATTATATCTACAATTACTCGTTCTCCAAACAAAGTCATATTCTGAGGTAGAAGTGGCTAGGACTTTGGCACATAAATATAGAGGGGAACATAGTTCACATACTACTGCTTTTCCATTTCTTCTCATCTATTGTAGCAGTTGATGCTTTCCCCCAAGCTACAAATGTGCCATGCAGATCCCATTTTTATGATGATGCCTGTGAATTCTGGATGAGTGAAAATAAGACTAATCGACCAGGCAGGGTGGCACACATCTTTAATCCAAACACTCAGGAGGCAGAGGCAGGCAGATCTCTATTAGTTCAAGACCAATCTGTCTACATAGAGAGTTCCAAACCAGCCAGGGTGACATAGTGTGGCTGTGTCTCAGGAAATATGTATATATGATTAATGGTCACAGCTTTACAGAGTAAAAGAGGTACATTGATTTTTTATTCTATGCTTTACTGACTTTGCTTATTATTCCAATAGTTTCATCTGTGTGCAATTACTAGGCGTTTCTTTCTATAGGATCTTGTCATTTGTAAACAGGGATAATTTTACTACTTCCTTTGTAATTTGGATTTCTCCTTTTTCTTTTTCTTGCCTAATATCTCTGGCTAGAACTTGTAGAATAGAAGATCTTATTAAGATCTTATCCTAAATCTTACTGAAAAACTTTGTTTTTCACCATCAAGTATTGTCTTAACTGTGGGAGTTTTTTTTTTTTTCAATTTACAAAACCTTAATAAATACAACATGCACTGTTAATAAATAACAGTGAACACAGAACAAGGCAATATAATTCAAGTACAAGAAGAACATATTGTCAGACACATGAACCTTCATCCAAGCTTGACAGGTCCCATAAGGCAGCCATGAACTTCTTCTGGCATCTGTGCCTCTTCTCAAGAAGGCCTTGTGACTTCCTTTTTGTCTTCATGGCTGTGACCTGAGGCAGTGAATCTATGTAATTCTCTGTTACCAGGAAGAAGATGGAAATCCTAAATATTGATAGAGCTTGGCCCCCAGGGAAAAGTTGTCCGGTAGGTCTGAGATGTGTGACAGGAAGCGGAAAGGGGACACTCTCCATGAGGACAAATTCTAAGTAAGGCTTTTGTGTTAGTTTTTCATCCCTGTGGCCAAGTACCTGAGATAAAGACTGAAGGAGGGAGGATTTGTTTTGATTCTTGGTTTTAGAAGTTTCAGTCAGGCCTGGAAAGTTGTGGCAAAGTGAAGGGGTGCAGAACATGGTGGCCAGGAGACGGAAGAGAATATCTGCAGATGACTTTCTTCTTTCCTCCCTTTTAATCCATCTGGGTTCTCAGCCTGTGGGATGGTGCTACCCACATTCAGGGCACATCTTAGCCTTCCTGGAAGCATTCAGATTGTGTTTTACAAATCTACTAAGTACTTCTCAATGTAATCAAGTTGACAATTAAGATTAACCACCAGAAGTCTGCTCCCTATCAACTTGACACCCAATTATATCTTCTAAAATCATAACACTCCACCCTTAGGTCCCAAAAGACTCATGTCTGTCCCACAATACAAATAACCCACCAGATATCGCCTGGCCTCCCAGACTTTTCTTTGAAACCTAGGTGGAAGCATCCAGAATACTGTAACACTTAAATTCTATACACTTGCATAACCAGCATCAGATGGATGAGACTCAGGTCTGCACAGGGCCACCTATGAAAGTATTCAACCATCTAGACATTCATAGGCCATTTTGGCTATGGACCACATGCATTCCATTACTTCTTAAGCTGGCAATAGACCTGGATTGTTAGTTCCCATGTAGGTGCTGGGAACTGAATTCAGGTCCTCTGTAAGAGAAGCTAGTGTTGTTAACCACTGAGCAATCTCTCCAGTCCCTGATATGGAATTTTCCATAGCAGTCCCTAATATTTTTATTTTTAATTCATCATCATCATCATCTTACTTCTACCACTGCTAATTGTTATTACTACTTTAGTAGTAGTAGTATGGAGACAAGGGTGTCACTATGTAGCCCTCTCAATTCTCCTGTCTCCACCCAAGTGCTGGGATTGCAGTACACCACTGTACCTGACTTTCTTATGATATTTTTCTTTCTGAGACATCAGTTGTAACATTTCCTCTTTCATTTTGGTATTATTAGTTGTATCTTCTCTTTTTTTCTTGATCAAAATAGATGTATCAATTTTACTTACATTTCCAAAAAAGCCCAAATTTTAGTTTCATTAATTTTCTATTATTTTCTATTCCCTATTTTCTTTTCAAATTCCTCCACCTCTGTCTTCCTCCCTCCCCCTCCCTCCCTCTTTCTTTCTTTCTCTTTCTTTCTTTCTTTCTTTCTTTCTTTCTTTCTTCCTTTTCTTCTTTCTTTCTCTCTTCCTCCTTCCCTCCCTCCCTTCTTTCTTCTTCCCTCCTTCCCTCCCTCCCTCTCTCCCTCCTGCCTTCCTTCCTTCGTCTCTCTCCCTTTCCTCTCCCTCTCTCATCTTCCTTCTTTCTTTCCTACTGGGGATTGAGCCATGGTCCTAAACAAGCCAAGCAATCACTTTATAATTAAGCTGCATCTTTAGCCCTCTCTTCTAATCTTTATGATGTCATTCCTTATGCTAACTTTGGGTTTAGTGTTTGC